CAGAGCATTTCCCAGTTTGCTGTATACACTGTATGCAGTCAACAAACAAGATGATAAAACTTACTAATTATTTAAACTTTTTGACTACAGGTATAAATTTTTACGGAGTATTTAAAGAGGGTACCAAAAAAAGAGAGAAATGTCTGCAAAGTCATAGTCAATAAGTGAAAAGGAAAATAAAAGAACAAAAGACCACATTTAAAACCTTTTCTTCTATAGCCCCTCTCCTACTCACATATACAGAATAGGAGAATATTCATTAATCTCAATGATAAATTATAGCTTTGTCCCCAGAGGCAGGCCATGAGTCTGTAAACTCAGAATCCAGGATTCACATTTTTTCCATTCATTCCCCTACCCCATTCCCACCATCCCTAAGGATAAAGCTCAGAAAACCATATGACCAACATTCTCTATGGGTCAGTACACTCAAAGATTTCCTATTTCATGCATGACAACCTAAGGATTACAAAACTGAGGAAAAGAACAATATTCTTAGGGAAAGTAATAATCTATAAGATTATCAAGAACACATTCATAATATAGGAATATGGCATAGTGGGAAAACACAGAGGAATATCAAGTATTGTTAAACCAGCCTGTGAACATCAAACACAAGCCTTCTAAACCATTTTCCCGAGTTCTGACAAACAAGGGGAGACATGTCTTAACAAGAGGGTGAGAAGAATAAGAAGACATACATTCTAGTTTCACCTCCCTGAAACCACAGAACCACCACCTATCTTCTTCAGAGCCACACATCATAATTCTTTATAAAAAATGAGGGCCTAGATGAAAAATTTCTCCAATCAAATGTCCTAGGTTCAATTAAATAGATTTTAGTTCATTCTGAATTGCCTCCCCTCAGATTATTTTATTGCTTTTATGTTTCGGCAGGGTTCTAAAGAGAATGAAAAAAAAATTGCAACCATTGTAAATTCTTGAGTAACAGCTGTTGAGTACATATATATAAACTCCTTTAGAATACTGAAAAGGGCCAGAAAACCTGCTCCAAAATATCCAAAGCATCCAGAATTATTTTTTGTAATAATGTGATTTTATGCTCACTTGCTTTTGATAATGTTCTAAAATGCACCTGAAACATTTGACGAAATATGAAAAGCAACAAAAAAGGTTACTTTTGTGAGTAATACAGGATTTTTTTTTAAAGAAGAGAGGCATTGCTTAGTTTCAATGGAGGGAAAATCTGTCTCCTTAGCAATAGATTCCTAATCACCTGATTTATGTGAAGGGTAAAGGTTAATGAATTAAGCTGTGTAAGCTTCAAAACTATCAAAGGAATTCAAAAGAGCCTTGAATTATGGAAAACAATGGGCCATTCTACATACATACCAAATTTTTATGTTTTTTTGTCTCCTACTCAAAAGCTGGAACATGGCATTAGTGACAATTGAAAAGAACTAATGAGGAAATATGACTACATTGCTTGCAAGAGGAGTGTCCTAGGAGACCTTGTTACAGTTTGTGATGTGCTTCAAACCCAAAAGAAGCTAATTGGAGCTGCCAGACACTGGTTTGCAAATCTCACTTTAAAGGACAGGCTCAATCAC